TAGTGCAACCCCTCCCTGTGACGGATGTCTCTACCTGTAATTAGTGGGCTGGCATGGCCCCAAAAGGTATATAGGCCTGGGTTAGCAATAGAGAGCTCTCTCTGGCCTCTGGCTGGTCACTCTTCCCCCTCTCCTCTCCTGTCCTCTCTCCCTTGTTCCCTTTCCCGTCATCCTTCCCTTCCCCCTCTCTCCACATGGACCACCAAGCTGGGCTGAGGTGAGCAATGCTACCATGTAATGTGTCTGCATTAATATAATATCTCTTCTACCGCTCATGCTCTCGATGACTTTAATATAAAATTTATATCTCAACCGTACAATTGTGCATTACTAAACCCATGAGTAGTAGTGCTGGGGGGCTGCCCCCCCCCACTTAATACTACAGAAGCAGGGGTGGGGCTGGGGGACGGGGAGCTGATCGCATTGATGATTGTACAACTCCTGTCAAGGGCACTGAACAACAGAATTGTGTGTGAATGGAATGATGAGATTTGTCCATAAAACTTCATTAGTTAAAAAAAAAGAAAGAAAGAAAATATGATGCTTTACCTCATTTCTCTTTGATAGTTAGTGTTTCTGAGTTTAAATTCAGTCCCTTGCCTTGTATAAGCACATTTTTAAAGGATCTTATCATAGCTGGTATAAGGTGATTCAACTCATCACCAAAACAATGTAGTACATTCATGAAATAGTCTTTTTAACTTTCTTCCCCCGTATGATAACCAGGTTGTTGTCCGAATAAAAAGAAAGCATAGTGCAGAAATGTTTGTTGCTCACTTCAAAGGGGAGCTCAGTCAAGTCGAGGTTTCCGGAAAAATCCACTTTCTCCAGATTTTCACAGTCTCCCACTTCCGGGGGAATGCTTTTCAGGTGGTTGAAACTCACATTGAGTTCCTTCAGGTTCTTCAGACACCCTGAAAGAGTTAAACATCAGAGACGTCCTTCAAGGCTTGTCAGACCTAGGTGAGGAGCATTCAAGAGCTGGGCCAGTTCTCCCCTGTCCTGTCACTATGCGCCAGAATGACCGACGTTCTCAGCAAGGAGCCCGCGTGGCACAGCGGTTAAAGGCCCAACTGCTAACTGGAAGTCGGGTGGTTCAAATCCATCAGCCGTTCTGCTGGAGAAAGATCTATGTGGCAGTCGGTCTCCCTAAAGTTGTCAGCCTTAGAAACCCTATAGGGAATCTCTCCTCTGTCCTATAGGGGACCTCGTGGGCTCATCCGCTCTGCGACGGAACCGACTCACCGGCAGTGGGCTTCGTACGGCCGAGTTTTCAAAAGTCCCAAGAGGAATCACAGTTGCGTTTCAAGCGCTGTGACAAAGGACGAGGTATCACTACAGTCCATGGTCTGTGTCAGCCGTCTGTGGTTATTGTGGTTAATGTTGTTGTTTTTAGCACGACAACGAAAACACGTTGCGCAATACATGTTTATCGCAAACGTGAATCAATGCATACCAAATAAAGTAGGGAACGTACGTCATGGCTTGGACTGGTGTATGTCAATTGGTAGTTATGACTGAGAGAGAAGCCAAGAAAAAACAAACGCGCTGCCATGGAGCCCACGTGGACTCACAGCGTGCCTAGAGGACAGGGTAGAACCGTACCGTGGCTTTCCCTTTACAGCAGGAGGAAGCCTCGTCTGTCTCCTAAAGAGCGGCTGGTGGTTTCAAACTGCTGCCCTTGTGGATCCCAGTGTGACCCAGAACCACTACACCCCCGGTGCCCCGTGGGACATGTAAACAGCAGCCGACTCAGGCCTCTGTGTACTCGAGCCCCAATCTATGAAGCCCAATTCCATAGTGAGGACTTGGCTTTAATGAGACAGGCAACATCCATTCTACTGAACGGGCACATCCTCATTTCCCTCCACGTTTGGAATGTAGAGAAACGAGCCTGGAGCCAGCGATGAGATGGTGAAGACCCCACGGAGGGAGATGTTGGGGCACACCTAATTCAACCTCGAGTTTCTAACTGTCTCATCAGGAAGATCAAGACCAACTTAGGACCCACCCCTTTTCTTTCTTCTTCTCCAGCAGGTAAGAGATCTTATCCCATCTTTAGCGCAACAAGCTGGTTGAGTTTGGACAGTTAAAAAAATACTGTGCACTTTCATCGGCTCCATTTTGCCAGAAGATTATTTGAAATTATTTTTCCAGCTAATAAAGGCTCAACTAACTTAATTAAAAAAAAAAAACTTTAAGTGGATTTCTTAAATCCTATCTCTGGCATAGTGGATTATGAGTTGGGATGCTAATTGAAAGTCAGCAGTTCGAAACCACCAGCCACTCTGTGAGAGAAAGATGAGGCTCCCCGCTCCCGTAGAGAGTTACAGTATTGGAAACCCACAGGGGCAGTCTCACCCTGTCCGGTCCGGTTGCTGTGAGTCAGCATCGACTGGACGGCAGGGAATAATGTCTCCAGTCATCTGTACGTTCTGTTAGGAGTACTTTAAAATTGTTTATCCCTTTCATTTATTTACAAATCCACCACGACAGATAAATAAATCTAGCTCTGCATTACAGACAATAAGTATTGAACATTAAATGAGAATAATCATATTGTGCATGAAAGTGTGATGTTGGCGTGACAGTTCCCTGACAGTATGGGAAGAGAAGCATGTGGGGGGAGGTAGATGACAGGCATTCTCCCCCCGCCCCCCCCCCTGAAGAGTCAGTCCCCAGACCAAGGGGTGGGCTTGCTCCCTGCTGCTGGGGACAATGAGCTAAGGCTTGGGACCATTAGCTTGGTTCCTGTAGGTGGGGTTTACACCCTACTGATAATGGTTCCCATGGAGACCCAGGGAACAGGTCAAAGTTAAGCTGCCATCCTAAATCTAGGATCCGCCCATCTTGTCACATGCATACCCCAATCCCTCCTCTTCCTATTGCGTGTATGTCCCTAGACCACCCCTTCTCATTACTGTGTAACCTGTAGTGCAACCCCTCCCTGTGACGGATGTCTCTACCTGTAATTAGTGGGCTGGCATGGCCCCAAAAGGTATATAGGCCTGGGTTAGCAATAGAGAGCTCTCTCTGGCCTCTGGCTGGTCACTCTTCCCCCTCTCCTCTCCTGTCCTCTCTCCCTTGTTCCCTTTCCCGTCATCCTTCCCTTCCCCCTCTCTCCACATGGACCACCAAGCTGGGCTGAGGTGAGCAATGCTACCATGTAATGTGTCTGCATTAATATAATATCTCTTCTACCGCTCATGCTCTCGATGACTTTAATATAAAATTTATATCTCAACCGTACAATTGTGCATTACTAAACCCATGAGTAGTAGTGCTGGGGGGCTGCCCCCCCCCACTTAATACTACAGAAGCAGGGGTGGGGCTGGGGGACGGGGAGCTGATCGCATTGATGATTGTACAACTCCTGTCAAGGGCACTGAACAACAGAATTGTGTGTGAATGGAATGATGAGATTTGTCCATAAAACTTCATTAGTTAAAAAAAAAGAAAGAAAGAAAATATGATGCTTTACCTCATTTCTCTTTGATAGTTAGTGTTTCTGAGTTTAAATTCAGTCCCTTGCCTTGTATAAGCACATTTTTAAAGGATCTTATCATAGCTGGTATAAGGTGATTCAACTCATCACCAAAACAATGTAGTACATTCATGAAATAGTCTTTTTAACTTTCTTCCCCCGTATGATAACCAGGTTGTTGTCCGAATAAAAAGAAAGCATAGTGCAGAAATGTTTGTTGCTCACTTCAAAGGGGAGCTCAGTCAAGTCGAGGTTTCCGGAAAAATCCACTTTCTCCAGATTTTCACAGTCTCCCACTTCCGGGGGAATGCTTTTCAGGTGGTTGAAACTCACATTGAGTTCCTTCAGGTTCTTCAGACACCCTGAAAGAGTTAAACATCAGAGACGTCCTTCAAGGCTTGTCAGACCTAGGTGAGGAGCATTCGCATACATATTGATGGGAAAGGTAGTAAGCGTCATGTTGTATTTGTTGTCTAGGGGCTCTTTAGTAAACCTCTACTTATCTTGTGTCCGGAAGATTTTAGCCCCTGATCTTACTCAACTTAACCATTCACAAAACCTTCATTGAAGTGAGTACCGGGGATCTGAGTCCAGTACCCAGAGAAGGCAAAATGTAAGCCCCTCCTAAAATACCTGACTTTAAAAATGGGCGTGGAAGAGTGACACAGCTTCTAGAAAACACTGTGCCCAGTGAGTCTCCTGGTGGCCTTCAGGTGGATTCAGAAATCCGCATCAAACTCTACATAGAAGGCAAATGATTCAAAGGGTCAGATTGTGTAGAGAAGGCATGGCATGCACCATTTATCTTTGGTTTCATATTGGCATTGATTTAATTATAACATATCACTCTTCATAAAGAATATGTTGCAAATCTCTTAGGCAGGACCTGAACAAACAGAGAATAACAGGCAATTGTTTCATTTTTAAAAGCAGTTGTTATTCTAATCAAAGACTCCACCGAAGAAGCTGACCAAAACGGAAAGAGTGCAGGACAGGATTTCAAATTCTCCTGGACTCCGCACTTGCTGGAGCCCCCTGAAACCATTGCCCTGAGATCATCTTTAAACCTTAAGCCAGATATACCCCCTGAAGTCTTCTTAAACCCAAACAACAATCTAGCTGAACCAGTAAAAAATGTCTGCCTTGAGCATCATGCTCTTTTAAGAAGGATCTATTTGGAATCAAAATGACAGTCGCAACACAAAAGATTTGAGGAGGAAGTGAGTGTATGTAAATGAGGGAGGAACAACTCCGCAGAGGGGGCTGGGGGGAGGGGTGTGCTGCTGCTGCCCAACTCCAAACTGTGATCAGTGTCATGAATTATACAGTGTTGAATCGGTGTATTTTTTAACTGTTTTATTCAATAGTTTAATCATATCAAGAAGAGTTGTCCAATCCTAACCACAATCAATTTTAGAACACTTTCTTTCCGCCCACCCCCAAGGATTAAATCGCTTTTAACATGAGTTGTGTAATCACTGTTGGTTCTAGTACTCCCTCCCCCCTCGTACAGACATTGCGCTCACACCCCTGTCTCCACCCCCTCCCCATCTCCAGCCCCTCAAGCCTACCTCCCCTATAACTTGTATCAGTTCTTAACATCTCTATGCATCTACTCCTTCTGTGCTTCACAAACTAGAGAACCCAACAGGAGCAATAAAAAACAAACAAAATAAAGTGGACAGGGCAAACTAGTAATAATACAAAGATACAAGTACACACAGTGCATAAGAAAGAAAAGACCACTGTGAATATTTAAAATGCCAGGGAAGAAAATGTTGTTTGGGAACTAGCAAGAAATACCTGCTCCTAGAAGTTCAGGTGGGGTCAAGAGGGAAGTCAATTGACCAAGTATCCAGTTTGATCCAGTATAATCACAATGACAAGGATCCCAACCTGATAGTAAAGCTGATGGAGCCCCTTGCCGATGGCTAGTGGGGGTCTGCCAGCGGCTGAATCCGAGTGGACGCTCTGCAGGTGGGTTTGGCCTCCCACTGCCCTCCACGGCCTTCTACAAACTGGGTGTTCGTGATTTATGCTCTGATACTTCTCCCTCTGTCATATTCGACTGCTGTTATTATGAATGGGCATATTGTTTTACTGTTTTACTCGGCGACAACAATTTTTCTAAAAGCTGTTGTGGTAGGGTCATCAAGTTACTTCTGACTTACAAGGAGTGACCTGACAGGACAGAGTAGAACAACCTCTTGGCTGTCACCTTTACAAGAAGCAGATTGCCAGTCCTGTCTCCCATGAAGCAGCTGGTGGTTTGAGCCACTGACCTTTTGGTTGGCAGCTGAATGCTTACCCCCGGAGCCACCAGAAAGCTGGCACAGGCAACGTGCCTGTTCCGCTATCAGTCCACTTGTCGGTCGGTGGCTGCTTTTCAGTAGATGCCACGTGGAGCCTAAAACGCCTAGTTGATTGAGTCAATTGCTATTATTGTGAAGTGCCCTCCAGTTGGTTCCAATTCATAGTGTCCCCAGGGACAACCGAATGGAAGACGGCCTGGTCTGGTGCCATCGTCACAATCATGCCTATGCTTGCATGGTCACAGTCACTGTGTCCATCACAGAAGGGACTAGTCCATCCGAATAACATGTCCAAAGTGCACGAGATGAAATCGTACAATCCTCGCCTCCAAGGAACACTCGAGGGATACCGCTCCCGAGATAGACCTGTTCATTCTTCTAACAGTCCGTGGTATATTTCATACTGTTTGCCAACACCGTGATCTTAGGGAACACGTTTATCCCCATAGCTGAGGGGCCCACCATCTCTGTCAAGGAGATGGGCTGAGACCATTGACTGACAAGTTCCCGAGTCTCTTCAGACGTTCACGTCAGTCTTGTCTTCCTTCGTTGTCTTTCTAATGACTTTCTGGGGGGTTTTCCACACATATGTTCTGGATGCATCCCACAGTTGGTCATCTATTCCTTTCATATGTATTTATTTGGCCTGCCCTTTGCAGTGCCAGACACGCCGGTTGTGCCAAGCACTGTAAAGCCTAAAGCTGACAGAGCGGCAATTCCTGCGTGCTCCAAGGAGGGTGACTGCCAGCAGAGGCCACCAGCAGACAGCAGAGACTTGGGGGACCATGTACAAGCGTTTTCCTACCAGTGACATGAGGCCCCATGGCACAGCAGAGCATTGCACTGTGGGTTCAGGGCAATGAGCCAGAGTTGGTGGCGGGGTGAACACAGTGTGTGTTCTAAATATGGTGTGTGTGTGGTAGTTCTATAATCATTTGTCAATTTGAGGATTAAGAATGAAGGGGTGGAGTCTAGCCTGTCACTCAAGATATAACCAATGAGGCCTCTGTGTGGGCATGGTCTTCTCCTGAGGATTCTGGAAATCCTGATTTTCCTCCTTGGAGAGGAGAGACACATCTCTCTCTCGGCTCACTCCCTGCGAGACATCTCTGTGGAGAAGACACATGGAGAGAGGCTGATAGAGCTAGCGTCCTGGAGCTGGATGAGCTATGTGGAGACTCATGCCAGCACTGAGAGGCTTCCACTGCCACTGGATCCACAAGACTTGCCACCCACTGACCTGTGATCTTCCTGCATTCAGCGTCATTGCCTGTTTTGCATGAGTCTGAGAGGACCTTATAGATTGGTATCAGACATATGGGCTAATATCGGACCTATGGACTTGATCTGGACTAGGCTGGGATGTTTTCTTGATGTTCAATTGCTCTTGTATATAAACCTCTTTCTTATACATGTATCAGTGTCCATGAGTTTATTTCTCTAGTCTACTCAAACTAACACAATAGGACAGCCCTGTGCCCAGAATAGGGTGCTGTGGAGCAAACAAATGGGCTTAGTTCAGGAAAGAAGGATAAAAAAGGGCAAAGTGGAGTAGAGTATCTAGGAATGTACATAAAAATAAAATGAATGGCAGGTTTGGGGGTCCCTTGTCAAGATGTCTACTTCTGTACCTGAAGAGACAAAGCAGTGATGGGGTTCTCACTATAACACATAAACAAAACACTTGAATGCTGGATCAATCCCTTCTTATCAGAGCGGGAATGAGGAGCTCTCGGGGGCAACTTGACTCACTAACGGGCAACTCAAGAAATGTATCAGTGATGTGTGAATGAGTTGCCCTTTAAAAATGTAGGTGAATCCATGGATATCTTTCTGACAGTACTCTTGCGGAGTCAGCATCCTGAGCCCGAGGCTCTATCAGAACAGTCTTTGGTGTCTCCGGGATCTAGCATCACCCACACAAAAACACCTAAGGTGTCATAGGTCCAGCATGCCCCCTTTCACACAACTGGTCCTTTCCTTCATGGAAATCCCCTACGGTCTTTTCCAACTGAAACAAAAGGTTGACTACTTACTGCCTAGTCTTCCAGGGCCCTCAGAACTAATTTCCAGGAAAGGGAATGTCATCCAATGAGGGATAAATCGTCTTGTTTCTAGAGCCCAAGGACAGGTTAAGGAATCACAATACTTTATGATATTTCGATTTGTAAAAACAATGTCAATAACTCTTCTACATCATGGTAACGCCTGGCCTTTTCACAAAGGAATTGGGAGGACCATTCACTACTATTCTTAATGACGTGACGAATCAATGACAAGATCACAGAATCACTGCCCTGACAAGGGTAGGGAGGGGAACTTAAATAGTGGTTACCAGGAACAGGCAGGATAAGGAGAAAACCACTGTTGAGGTAGCACTGAGCTCTTGTTTGGGGGATGGGAAATTCAGTAGTGGAAACTGGTGGTGGTCGCACGGTATCGTTGATGTATTTGGTCTTATTGAATTGTACACATGGGGAAAAATGCAGAATTGGCAAAATCTATGTTCTCTGTACTTTTACAACAATAAAAAATACAATGATCAAAAATATAATAAGTGTCCTAAAAGTGGGGGAAAGGATATTTTTGTCTGTTGGCTGCCTTTCCCCAACTCCTCCCTTGTGGCCTTCCCCCGGGCCTCAGCAATTCTGTAAGGCAGCACGGCACGAGATCAAAACTCCTTCACAAAACACAGAGAACATGCCTTTAAAACTACAGATAAAGGGGGTGGGGGGTGGGGAGAAGGCAGTCACAGGATCTATGTGGTAATCAAACTAAAACATGGAATAGCCAAGGGATTTGAGCACTTTCGGTGACGAAGCTGTATTCTGCCAAGGAATCTTAGCGTGTGCAAAAGCACGTTCCTGAACACGTGTCCCCATGAGGCTGTGTCACCACAGCAGAGAGCCTGAGCCACATACCAATTTCCGCTGGCAGAGCTGAGAGTTGGTTTTGGGGCAGATCCAGAACTCTCATCGCAGTAAACAGCTCGATGTAGCTTGGAATGATTTGAATCAGGGTACTGTCTATGTGCCATTCCTTCAGGTGTGTCTGCTCCTTCAACGAATCTGGGAGCTCCTGCAACAGAGTGACATTGCCTCGGTCAGAACCGGTTCCCGCACCCGTGGCGGCTGAGGGGCAGTGGGCACCCCGCCAGGCCACGCTGCACTGCTATTAAACCAACAATGAGGGCCTTTAGATTTAAAAGCCAGCTGCGTATGCTATTTCTAAAAGGAAGTACAAATCCCTGCAGCCACAGCGCACGCACCATTTGTTTACATAATCTAGTATCTTCTGAAAGGAGAATCCATCCATGCTTTAGATTTTAAAGGCCGGGCTGCGGATCCCTTATTCTGAAGTTACTTTTAGAGATACTTGACCCACCCCTCATATGTGCGGGGCCAGATTTCCACGTGTCTCTGTGCCTTTGTGGTAAGGAATGAAAAGGAGCCCTAGAGGGACCACAGCTAAGCACTCAGCGTCTACCTGAAGGTTGGTGGTTTGAACACACCCCGCGGTTCCAAGGGAGCCACCTGAGGCTCGGCTCCCATAAGGACCCCAGCCTAGAAAATTCTATGGGCAGCCCTGTCACGTGGGGTCACTAAGCGTCAACTATTCACTCGATGGCAATGACTAGGGAACCTGGGACAAAGGAATTCTAAGCTGATGAAATTGAGGCTTTGGGGGGGTCAAGAGAAGAAGGTGCAGATGTTTTAAAAGCTCAAGTTGTCCTTGAAAGAGATCACACCGAGGTCCATCTGAAAGTTGATGAAACCAGGGCCCAGGACCTGGGGCACTCCTGGCTTCCGACTGGGGTGACGGGTGACAGGGATGCTGCTCTCCCCACATCGGGCCCTGCGGTGGCAATGCACCACCCAGTAGCTGCCCTAAGCTGCTAAAACCACACTCCCAAGGAGCAAAGGTAGATCTCTCCACTCAGTCCCCGTGGAAGCCCCACGGCCGCATGCACCTGCAGACTCTTTCCACAGGGGCGGTGGTTGAAGTTCAAGGCCCGAACCCCCTTACCAAGCGAGCCCTCTACGATGGACTTGCTCACTCCTCCCTTGCAGAGGTAAGGCTGGGACGCAACCTCTGGGATTAAACAGTCACTGAAGCGCCCACTAGAGATGGGTCCCGTCAGGATAAGGCAGCCAGATTGGGGGATTGAGGAGGGATAACAGGTAGTGTTGTAGTTACATCATCTGTCAATTTGCAAAGGGGTGGAGTCTAGCCTGTCAATCAGGTCGCAGCTTGATGACCTCGTTTTCAAGGCACAGAGGCTACAAATAGCTCCCTGGAGGCCAGAGGCACACTCTCTGTATCAATGCTCTGTGTTTTGTCTTCCCGCTGACAAGCCAGATGTGCTACACTGACGGAGCCAGAGCCCTGGGGTTGGACAAGTCACATGGAGACCCCTGCCAGCACTGAGAGGCTTCCACCGACACTGGATCCACAAGACTTTCCACCCACTGGCCTGTACTCTTTCTTCCTGCATTCAGAATCATTGCATGTGCTGCATGAGTCTGAAGGAGAATGTATAGATGGTAACAGATATATGGACTCATATCGGGCTTATGGACTTGACCTGGACTGGGCTGGGACGTTTTCTCAATATACAACTGTACTTTCATATAAAGCTCTTTTTCCTTTTTTTTTTTCTACCTCTACTTTGTGTAATTTATTCTAAAGGCAGCACTGAAAGGCAGGCTGATATTTGTTCATGCCTAATTACAAATGTCTGGCATGAAGACGTACGTAACTTCCAAAGCCCAAGCAGACACCACTCATCTATCACAGCACCTTTCTCCCTTTTCCCTTAAAAGACCTCAGGTTCCAACACCCCGAAGCTCTTTCTAATACACACGAGTCTCCCTGGGTTTGTTTCTCTAGCCAACCGGACTAGCACAGGTAGCCAGTTCACAACGGGGCCTCCCACCAGCCTGCTGGGTCAGCTCTGCGTCCTTCCACTTCTTAGCCCACTAACCTAGCGCACGCGCACACCAGAGAATGTTGCCTTAGAATCCGCTCCACCTCTTGGTCACCCACATGCATCGAAACAGAACCAGGCTCCAGAGGACTCTCCGTGGCTGACTGTCCAGAAGTGGGTCAGGCACCCACGGGTGGGCTGGAGCCTCCAGCATTGCCGCCAGCATCCTCGAGCACATTCGCCATTTGCACCACTTGCACAAGGCACTCCGCCTTTCCATCCACGGCATTCACGAGAAGCACTTGGAAGGAAGAAGTTTCCAAAGGAAGTCTGTGAGCCGAGAGGACGCCTGGCCGCTTAAACCCTCCAGGTGGACTGCGCGATCCCCTACGGCGGGTGCTGGAGGCTCAACACCATGCTGGGTGATAGCACGTGACAATGAGTTACCCACAGCATTTAATTAAAAATCCACAAATGTCCCGCTTCTGGCCACAGACATGACAGTGCCCAGGGACCCGCTGAGCATTCCACGTTGGGAATGCAAGAGAGAGTAGACCCAAGAGGCTGCCCCCCATCAGCTCACCCAGTTTCAGCAGGCTGGGTGCCTAACCAGGGAGGCTAAGAGAAGATGCTCGCAGTCCGTCCTTAGAAAACCCTCTGCTTCATTTTACCATAACGGACAGGGACAGAAAGACAGAGGAGGAAAGTGATCCGGTCACACGGCGCCTAACAGGACGGCCTCAGAATCATCCCAGACATTCAGTGCCCAGGTCCGCACAGGGCCCCGTGAGACGAGATGGAGGCCAAGTCCCAACAGCCTCTCTGTTCTGAGATGAAGAGGCTTCTCTGAACAAGCGACTCGTCCTTCTCTCTCCGCTGTCCCCCCACCCAGAGACAAACCCCCACTAGCGAGTGGTGGGGGTGGGGCAGGGTGCCCTCAGCACCACCGAAGGGATCAAGATCCCATTCCATGCCTGCCAGCTGTTCGGCGGCAGAGGGAGGTGGCTGTCTGCTCCCATGAAGAGCTGCAGTCTTGGACCCCTGAGAGGAACCGGTCAACTCGATGGCCATGGGTTGAGTGGGTGGGTGTCCACTGGGGGTCCTGACCTCTGGATCTCAGGACAGGAAAACCGGGGGGATTTCTGCCGCATGGTAACAAGTCAGCAAAACCATCACCCGCTTAAGGGCGTCCGATAAAGGCAGGCCCAGTCATGTTTAAGTGAGGTCTCTCAGAGTGCCGAGGAAAAACAGCAAAATTAAGCACCTTCCATCTGGACCGGGACTCCTGGGAAAGGAAGGGCAGGTGGGGTCCCAGCTCTTCCCTGCGGGGACCAAAGGGAGCCCCCTGTCCTATGGGTGGCTACGAAGATTCAGGCAGCAGAGAGCTGGCAGGCCGGCTTGGCGCTCCTCCCACTCCGCAGGCAAGGCCCATTCCACCCAAAGGCACGGCTGAGGGTTCGCTTAGCGGCCATCGGCCCCGCTGCACTGCGCAGTCGCTGACTGCAGAGGGCGCCTCGCCTCCGCTTACCTTCCACTGCGGTCCCCAGAGCTCGAACACAAACGGATTCCGCCTCTTCTGCCTCTCCTGGGACCGCGGACCCAGCCAGGCCCGAGAATTCCTTTCGATCTTCTCCAGAAGCCTGACGCTCGTGTCTACGTGGCCGTTCTTGCAGTACTCAGCTTGGGGGATGCCTTTCCTCCTGCACTCGGCCACGAAATTCCACTCCTCCTTTATCCTACACCCACGGCCGAGGGAGGCAGCAGTTAAAAAAAAAGAAGAAAAGAATGAGTTGAAACTGATTGTCGTGGCAACATACATGACTGCTTGATGTTAAAACATGCAAGTTTAACAAACCCCAAAACGAGACTCACTGTCACCGAGTCAAAACTGACTCACACAGACCCGACCAGATGGGACAGGGTCGGACTGCCCCAGTGGGTTTTGGAAACTGTAATTCTTTACGGGAGTAGAAAGCATCTTGTCCCTTTCAGACTGGCCAGTGGTTTCAAACTGCTGACCTTGCGGTTAGCAGCCCCAAGGCAGCTGGGGGCAAGTGATCTTCACCCACCCACAGCAGCCCATCCTGCCACCTGGGTGCAGGCGCTGTCCTCATGGTGGGGCATGATCTCCGTGGGCGGCAAAGATGATTTGCTTTCCACCCACCTCAAGGTTGGCGGTTCAACGCCCTACAGAAGCACCCTGGAGGTCAGTCCTGGGCACGAAAAACTCAAGGGAACAGCTCTTCCGTGTAACGCAGTTGGCGGGTGGGGGGCCCACACCAGTCCCAGGGAACTCAGGACAACAGGTTTGGTTTGGTTTGGGGGTTACGGGAGAGGAGAATTCTCAGTGCGCTCACAGTGAGGGCTCATGCGCTCTGCCGGCCTGCACCTGCGCCTCACCGCCCCTGCTCCCGCTCCTCCCCAGCCCCTAGTCAGGACAGGACACACACTTCTCCAGGGCACTTCTCTGCAGCCGGTCTGCCTCCTTCTTCTGCCAAGCTTTGTGCTTCCGGACGCGAGTTTCCCACAAGCCTCGGATGGCAGCGATGTCGAACACAACCACTTTATGACCCATGGTGGGGGCATGAGATGACCTAGTTCGAAGAGAAACAAAAACGAAAACACCACGCACGATACAGATTTATCAGTTTCACAGACGCACAGGAGAAACCTCTTAACATGAACTTGAACATGAAGCATGGGGTGGGTCAGGATCCTGCTTTGTTTGTTTGTTTGTTTGTTTGTTTTTGTGGGGGGGGTTTGGACACCAAGGCTATTGCAGCAAATGATCTAGAATAGTGATTCTCAACCTTCCAAATGCCGCGACCCTCTAATACAGTTCCTCCTGTTGTGATGACCCCCCCAATCATAAAATTATTTTCCTTGCTACTTCATCACTGTCATTTTGCTACTGTTATGAAATCGGGCGACCCCTGTGAAAGGGTCGTTGGACCTCCCCCAAAGGGGTCACGACCCACAGGTTGAGAACGGCTGGTCCAGAGAAATAATGTCCAACATCCTAGTTGGATGAGTAACAACTAGGGTCTTTAAAAGGGCTCCCGAGTGGCCGTGTAAGGTGTGAGCCTTGTTCTCTCCCTGTGGAAAGACAGGTGGAAATGACTAGCCCCATAGATTCATGAACACAGAAACCTCAGTCTCCGCCAAGGGGAGACCAGAAGAATGAGATGGTGCCAGCTCTCGTCACCAACTGCTCTGGAAAGGATTGCAGAGGCCCTGGATAGCTTGGGAGAAATATGTGGAGCAAAACTCAAAATTATGAGAGGGGGAGAGAGAGAGAGAGAGAAGGCATACTGGTCCTAAAAATTATAGGTGAAACCTCTTAGCCCAGGGCTCCTTGTCCCCCCTTTAGGTCTGGAACTGAAGCAACTGGAGTTAGACTAGTCAGCCGTCCACAATCTGAAGGGCCAGGTGTGGAGGGGTAGGACAGGAAGAGGAAGGCAACAGGGGACACGGGGAGAGGGCAGAATAAATGACCACAATGGATGCGTTGAACGAAAACGTGTAGGAACCGCTGACTGTATCACTAGTGATCTGTTCTGTACATCTTCGCCTAGGTCACAATGAAACGT